TTTCAACAGACCTGTTTTATTGTGTCGTGAAAGACTGCACCTAAAACCAGGTGCAAGGAGTATCAAACAGCGTGTTTTACCTAGAACATCCAAACCCAGGCGCTGCTGAGGCCCAGCATGTCGACTTCCCGCTCAAACTGAAAAGCAGCAGCAACTCAGGCTTCCGTCTGCATTGAACAGCTGGTAAGAAACAAGGTAACCCAGGGTGCAGCTTCCCGAGAGACTGGCAAACAGAAAAGAACCAGGAGATGCATCTAGTGTGTGCTAGGGGCGGCGTGGGAGGAGGGGAAATCAGCTGGCAGCTTTATCGCTCTCCCCGTTCTCGATCAGTTTCCGTTTCTTCTCATCCGTTTTCCTCTTGAAGATGTGGTCTCTGTAGAACTGGAGTTCTTTGATGCTTTCCCTGATGTCATCGAGTGCTCTGAAAAAGAAATCGAGGGTTTCAATGCGCCTGTGTGCACCTCCAGCTACACCTGGATCCCAGCAACACTGAAAACTTCCAGGCTGCAGGAAACCAAACTGATGTGCACGGCTATCAGACTCTCCTGTCAAGACTCTCACCTCCCCATTTGCAGTTCTCCAATTGTACTGTCTCTGTGACCATCTCTGCCTCAAAACAAGGGCAGATAAACCCCCTTTAAGTGACTGAAGGGATGAAGAAACTCCTGGTCCTCTGGATTTTAATTATCCCTTTCCCTACTCTAGCAAGGCTTCAGACAGGAGGATACAAATGTCTGACAGGGAGCAGAAGCACACAGCCTCTACCTGCATCAGACTCAGGATGCTGACACAGGGAGCCCCATATCCTGCTCCAGAAGAGCCTGGAGCACAAAGCTCACCTGTGAGAAGCTGCCTTCTTTGGTGCAAACTCATACTCCTCTGGATACCAGCGTCTGCAAGTGGAAAAATTAAAAAGGAAACTGGGCTTCAAAACCATGTCTGCTGACTGCTGCAGGTTTGTTACACATGGTGAAAGAATTTTGGTTCCACTGACACCCAGAGAAGCCACAGCTCTGCGAGTCCTCCTGATGTGAACTGCAGAGCCCCAGCATCACAAACAAGCGTCCCCAGGGTATCCTTCAAACCACTTAATTGGGGGAACACTTACCTGCAAAGTTCCTTGACAGTGCTCACATCAACGATCCTGTAATGAAGGTGCCTCATGAACTGCGGCATGTATTTGTCAAGGAATTTCTTATCTGCATGAACAGAGTTTCCTACAAAGACACAAAACAAGATGTTTCTTCAAAGACGCTACAGAGCGACATGGAAACAAGCGGCAGGATAAGCGAGCTGGGAGAGATCACAGGGGAGGAAAAGCCATTCACAAGCAGCTCATTTATCCCATTTTCTAGTAAATATGATTGTAGAGGTTTGTCAGATTTTCATTGCAGGATCACAGGGGGTTTAAAAACTAATACCCCTAGTAATTCCTCTGTTAGTACTTCCACAATTTCTGTCACACAGATAAATATCAAAGAATCGTGCGAACATCGAGTTTTCCGCCAAGTGAAAGTGGCCATTGGTATTAATTTCACTCAGCACCCATCCAAAGACTGTATGTGAACATTCTGAACACAGTTACAGGTAGCAGGACACCTGGAAAATCCATATTTGGCCTTTGACTGGATACCCAGTGAGGAAAAGATGCAGCATAGAACACGAGCACACCCCTACCACGTGCATCGGCAGGTGTTTGCATCCAGATGGGAGTGCAGGAGGGATGAAGCTGCTGTTGTTAAGAAAGAAGATGCTTCACCTGCGAGAGGACAGAGCCCCGGGGGTGTCTGCTGCCGCACGAAGGACAGGAACTCGTACTCTGCTTGCTGCAATGAGATTTTGCTCTCCTTCACAGCCTTAGTAAGGCCAGACTGCAAAAAAGAGCCAAGTCATAAATCAGAAACACCCTGCCACAGACACTGTCAGGAATGCTCCAGTTCTAAAGTAAATGTTTAACTCTACAGCAAAAGGTCAACCCTTTGAGTGCAGTTTGTTTCCCAGGTAATTCCTGAACTGGGTTCAGTTCTCTGGGACACCCCCAGCCCCAATTCTCCGCAGGAACCTCCTACTTGGCAAGTAAAACCAAGGCAGGTATATAGTCCTGGCAGCACTGACCTTCCTGTGAGGGTTGGGCTTTTTCTTTCCCTTTTTTTTTATTTCTTTGCCTACTTTCTTGAGGCTCTTCTCAATTACCAAGACATGAGGTCTCATTTATCCACCTGCCTGTCTATGACCCAGGAGAGCATTACATCCCTGTTTCATGAGAGGCACTCACCTCCCCAGCAGAGAGCAGCAAGTATCAGTGAACACAAGCAACCAGGATCCTGCCTTAAGTGTTTATCAAGATTCCTATAAATCAGAAAAATTCCTCCCTTCTTTTTTTTTCAATAGTTAAATGTCAAATCCTCTCCAAATGTTCTCAGTGATTTATTTCCATCTGGCTACGCTATATATTTCCACGGCTGAGCTGCAAAAATCTACTTGACAGATCCAAGTGGTGGTTAAAAAATTCATTATGTGGCTGCATTTTCATCTATATTCTAATTGCTTCTCTTCTCTTAGTCAATTAAAAATAAGTAGCTCCTCAGGAGCAATGAGGACACGTGTTACCATCTCCAATTCACTCCCAAGCTGAAGCTGAGCTGGAATCCTCAACTGGATCAGGGGAAAGCACCCATCACAGTAAATTAATATTCATTTTCCAAACTCCTGCTAATCCTTCCCACAGAGAGTGAGATGCCGAAGGGAGGAGAAAGTGGGTATATGGGTGTCTTAAAACTTCAGCCCTTAATTGAAAACTAACTTGAATTTCAATTCATCCATCAGGGATTGGAAAATCCATTTGCTCTCTTGCTGCTGGCAAGGAGGAACCTTTCTTTGGTGGCCCAAAGAACTAAAAATAATCTTTTGCTGCAAAAGCGAAGTGAAAAAATGCACAAGGTTCCCAGTGCTGAGGGGACAGGCAAAAATAACAGCGCAGTGTTTACAGGCCTGTTTAATCCCACAAATACCAAAATCTGCATGGGGAAATCTGCATTTCATCAGCTCTGGACTGTTCTGTACTGATCCCGCACCTGTTCTTACTTGGGCCTTCAAGCCTCACCTTCTCCTTCTCATCTGGAATTAGTCTTTGAATTATTTTGTGGAAGACAGAAGAGGATTCACTGGGAGGAGCTATTGGAGGAGCCAACCCAACCCAGCCTATGCCGGGGCTCCTGCAGAGGCAGGAAAAGGGATCAGCTCCACAAGAGGACCAGGGAGCCAAACTCCAATTCCCAACCTCACAACAGGAGGAGGCAGCTGAGGCCACACCTTGGGGGACAGGAGCCAGCGGCACATCCCTGAGCAACAGATCCCCTTCTGGGCTCCCCTGCCTGCTCCAGCCCTCTCAGGGCTGCTGGGTGGTGCCAATGCTTCCCGATCTCAAGGAAGTAGCTTCCAGCACTATTCCAACTTATTAAAAACCAGGCTACAAAGCACAGGCTGCTCTAGGCAAGCTGGAAGATGAAGGCTAAGGATTCCTGAGTGCAGCTTGCTTTGTGCCACACATCATTTGTGATACCTTGGGCAAAACGTTTTGCGTCGGCTCCCTGCTACAAAATAAGGATAATGCCTCCCGTCCTCCATCCCCTCTGACTGCAAACCGCTCAGCACAGGAGTTGTCCCTGCTAAGGCGGCCGTGCTGCAGCTGATCGCTCGGAATTACACGTCATTCTCATCTGGCAAAGGCAGAGAAGGGTTTTTACCTTCCCGTGATGCTCCTTGCACCACTCGGACATGCTCTCCAGCAGCTCGTCGGGCTGGTTGATAATCAGGTTCGGGCCCTGGAAAAAAAAAAACATGGAAAAAAAGAAGTAATGGAAAAAAAGTTTAGAAGCGACCAGAAGTTTAGCCGCAAGCACAGGCAGAGCACGGCGCAGTTTCAGCCCCGAGACACGAAGTGCAGGTGACGCAGGTCCCGGGACGGGGATCCCCCCTGCCCGCCCGCTGCTTTGCTCCCGCAGCCCCTGAAGCGGCGCGGGGCCCGGCAGGCCCGTCCCGCCCCTCACCTCGGCCAGCACGTTGAGGTCGCAGTCGGTGATCAGACACGCCATCTCCAGGATCTGGTCCTTCTCCACGTCCAGGCCCGTCATCTGCCACGGGGCGAGCGGCCGCGTCAGCGCGCCCGGGGCCCGCGCCCCCTTCCCCGCCCTCCCCGCGCCCCCGCCGCCCCGCGCCGCCGCCCCGCACCTCCAGGTCCACCCAGACCATGCGCTGCCCCATGTCGCCGCCGGCCATGGCCGCCGCCCGCCGCCGGCCCCGCCACAGCCGCCCGCCGCAGCTCCGCAGGCGGCCCAGGCCGGCGCGGCCGCCGCCCAGCATCGCCGCCGGACTACAGCTCCCGGCAGCTCCCGCGCCGCCGCCCGCGCTGCCCCGGCTGTGGGCGCGCCGCGGGGGCTGCTGGGAGCTGTAGTGCCGGGGTGGAACGGGGAGCCCGGCGCGCTCCTCCCCGCCCCGGGGCCGCGGAGCGGGGCAGCACCCCCGTCCCCAGGGAGGGGCTTCACCCGCCGGCTTTCCCCTGGGACATTCTAATGCTCTTCTCCAAGGCAATATTGGAATATTCAAAGGGGATATGAGGCAATGGGTTCAAACTGAAAGAGTAGGTTTAGATGAGATACTGCAAAAAAGTTCTTTACTGTGAGGGTGAGGCACTGAACAGGTTGCACAGCAATGTTGTGGATGCCTCATCTCTGGAAGTGTTCAATGCCAGTTTGGTTGGGGCTTAGGCCAGCCTGGGCTAGTGGAAGGTGTTCTTGCTCACGGCAGGGGGTTGGAATGAGATGAGCTTTAAGGTCCCTTCCAACCCAGACCATTCTGTCATTCTGATTCTGTATCAGAAATGCCATGAGGAATATTGCAGACACTGGGCAGCATCTGTCCCACCTCTATTCTGCTTTAAAGGCTGGACCTGCCCATCTGACAAAGACAGCCTCTTCCTCCTCCAAAAGCACTGACAGCCATGGTTTCTCAAACCAGCGTTTTTCTTTTCCCCCTGAGAAGCCCTGAGGTGTGAGTTAACACATTTAAAACTGAGACCAGAGTTTGGCAGGACTGTGCTGCTGGTATTTTTACAAACACTAAAAGGTCACTGGTTTTTTTTTTGCAGGGAAAGGGGTTTTATACAAGTACTCAGTAAGAAACGGGTCGCGTTTGCTTTGCCCTCAGAGTCCGTCAGTGCCGTGCCGGGTGCCACTTGGCCTCCCTGTAGCTCTCCCTGCGGTGGTCGTAGTCGTGGCTCCAGCCGTCGCGGTGCCTGTCGCCGTAGGGCTCGTCCCGGCTGCCCCGGTAGTGGTGCTCGGCGTCGTGGCCCCTCTCATCGAAGCCGTAGTCGTCCCGCTTGCCGCGGCCGTAGTCGGGGCCGAAGCGCTCGCGGCCGAAGTGCCGGCTGTCGGGCGGGTAGGGGTGGGCGCCCAGCCGGCCCTTGCGCAGCGCCGGCCCCTCGGTGCGCCGCGACATCGGGGAGCCCGGCGGCGGGGCGTGGAAGGCAGGGGGGTAGCCGGGAGGGGCGAAGCCAGGCTGCTCGTACTTGCCGCCGAACTGGGGCTGCTGCCGCGCCATGCTGTTCATCTGGGAGGGGGAGAGGGGAAAGGGAGGGTGGGTTTGGTGCTTGAAGGGGCAGAGAGAAACCTAAACCCTGTGGTGGCCTCCAGGTCACACCGTAAATACCAGGAGAATGGGACAGGCTGATTGGTGAATGAGACTGAATGGGAATTTATGGAACAGACATTGCCTACTGCTTCACCCACAGCTGAGCTCCCACAGTTCAGAGCCCTCCTAACTGACACCCTGGGTACCAGGAGCTTCAGATCTTCTGGAATTGTCCTTTTGGGGCTCCAAAAGAATATTCCCACAACCTCTCCCAGTCATGACAGGAAACAAGGACTCCAAAAAGGGGAGGCAGCTCCACCCAGTGCCGCCCTGAGTGTGTGCCATGGACGTACCACTGCTTGTCTCTGCAGGCTCGGTGGGAAGCCCACGGCGGCGGCGCCCTCAGGAACCCTCTCGTATCTGCAGGGAAAACAGAGCAGGGGTTCCAGCATTAAATACACGACTGCTGCAGTCCAAGGGGCGCCTGCATCCCGGCTGTGTTCCCTCCCTAGGAAAGACAGACCACAGTGCCCCGGGGAAGAGAGACTGGAGCCAACAAGCTGTGCAGTGCCACTCTCCACTCCAAGCTCCTGTGCTGGTGGGACTTGTACCTGCTGCAGTTGGAGGCTGGATGTGGCATTCCAGGAGAGATGGCACCAATAGCTCCGAGCGGCAAACAGGATGGACTGGTGTCCTGGGCTGCATGACTGCTCCCTGGGTAGACACAAACACTGGTGAGAGGCACTCGGGTGTAAAGGACACCAACAGCTTTCACAAGCTTCATTTGCTCTCAAGTTTTGTAAGAGATCTGCGAAGGCACATGGGCCCAGTCTCCAAAACAGCTCCCATCAGGAACGGGCAGTGATGTTGCGACCACGTGCCTCATTTAACCACCACCGGATGTGACTTTTAGTGCTTGTGTGATAATTTAGAACAGATCTCAAGGGTACAGAAGGAATAATCAATAACAATCTAAGGAGAAGGCTCAGCCAAGGCGGTTACACCGGCCACGAGGGACAGACGGTCCCCGGTGGAAGCACCGGGACAGGAGCGTGTGAGGAGAGGAGAGCGGGCAGGTGAGGGGCCCCTGGGCGAGAGGCACATGAATGTGCCCAATGAAGCACGAATCCATTGGAGGCTGGGGAGCAGCTGAGGACAGTTCACCTTCCCTCTAGGAAAATGGTGATTTGCGGCCCCTCCGCGGGTACCTGATCGGAACTGGATGCGCATGGGCCGCCCGTACAGCTTGATCCCGTTGAGCAGCTGCAGCCCGTACGGCACCGACTCCTCGTGCTTGAAATTGACGAAGGCGAACTGCTTGGGTCGTCCGTCCCGGTCCTTGGGGATCTTCACGGTGATCACGGGCCCCGCCTAGCACCGGGACCGAAGGCGTTAAACACACACCGGGGGGACGGGATCGCCGCCGAATCATGTCCCGCGGCGGCCGCCGTAGCCCAGCCCGCCCCCCACCCGCTCTGGCGGCCGAGGCCTCCCCGCCCGCGCCCTCCCCGGCGAAGCCAGCTCGGAGTCCGGGCGGTACCTGGTGGAAGAGCTCGAAGATGAGCTCCTCGGTGACCCTGGGGTCCAGGTTGCCCACGAAGAGCGTCCGGTTCGCCTCGGCCGCCGCCGCCCCCATGGCCGCGCCTGGGCCCGCCCGAGCGCGCGCTGTCCGGCGGCCGCTCTCCGCGTGCGCGACGGCGTGACGTCACCGCGCGACCACGCGTGCGCCTCCGGCCCTTCCGGGGCACGGGGAGGGGAACGGGAATTGGGAATGCCATTTGGGAATGGGAATGGGAATTGGAAACGGGAATGGGAATTGGGAATGGGAATTGGGAATGGGAATGGGAATTGGGAATGGCATTTGGGAATGGGAATGGGAATTGGAAACGGGAATGAGGAATTGGGAATGGGAATTGGGAAGGGGAATGGGAATTGGGAAGAGGAATTGGGAATGGGAATTGGGAACGGGAATGGGAATCGGGAATGGGAATTGGGAACGGGAATGGGAATTGGGAATGGGAATTGGGAACGGGAATGGGAATTGGGAATGGGAATGGCATTTGGGAATGGGAATGGGAATTGGGAACGGGAATGGGAATTGGGAATGGGAATTGGGAACGAGAATGGGAATTGGGAACGGGAATGGGAACAGGAATGGGAATTGAGAATGGGAATTGGGAATGGGAACAGGAATGGGAATGGGAATTGAGAATGGGAATTGGGAACGGGAATGGGAATGGGAATTGGGAACGGGAATGAGCCCTTCCCGGCGACTTCACCTCTGCAAGGCCTCTGGAAGGCGGCTGCCCTGCCCTGCCATTGGATGTCCCCAGCCACTGTGATCCCCTGGGCACCCCAGAAGACGCGGGATGTAAAACGGGCGTTCTCCATCTGGAGGAATTTCGGGAGGGGGCAGTTGAGCCTTCATTTCTCATTAGGCCCCGGCGCAGCTCTGCTTTCCCCGTTAATTGGGTGCCGTTCATTCTCTCCGCCCCATTACTCGCCGCCGCACCCAGAATTTATATCCGTTTGGATTAATCGCGTCCGCCTGGTTAAATCCCAAACAGCCACTCGTTCAGAAAGGGAGTTATTACCTCGCTTTGCCGGGACTTCCACTTTGCCTTAATTTCCCTGGAGCCTCGTTTGCCTTGCTGTGCCTTCTCTCCCCTCCCCAGCTCCCCTCGGGCTCGGCTGGGAGCGTGTGATGCTCGTGTGCCATCCGGGCTCGTTCCACGTGCAGCTCTTGCCAGGCTCAGAGAACAGGAACCATTCGGGTGCTTCACAGACTCGCTTTTGTGGAGGAGGGATGTGGAGGGCAGGGAGCCAGATGTGTGCTCTTCCTGGCACCTGAGGGCCGCAGGGCCAATGCTGGCGGATTCTGAGGAGCTGGAAAGGGTGATGACAGTGTACAGCGTGGTGCAGGGTAGAGTAGATGCCATGGGTAGAGTCTGGGGGCTTGTGGGAGGGGGGCCCAGCAATGAGATCAGGCACTGGGAGGGTGGAGGACTGGCACAATTGGGGGGGAACATCAGGGTGCTGGGGAGGGAGGTGCACATTGCACACGTGCCAGGGCCCCAGCTCACAGGAGTCCTGTTGGGTTGGGTTGGGGCTGGAGCGTGGCTCTGGCAGGTTTGCCGTGGGCTGAAGGGGCAGAGCAGACTGGGGTTGTGGGGCAGGAGGAGGGCAGCTGGTTCCCCTTGCCTCAAGGTGGGTAGCAGGGTGTTGTGGGCCTCTCCTTGCCCTCTGCACCTCATGCCCTCTGTGGTTTAGCTCTCAGTTCTCTCCTTCATCCTTCTTTTCTCCCTCTCACTGCCTCTCTGGTGCCTCCTTCCCCCCTCTCTCTGTGCTCCCTTGCTCTCTCTGTGCCTCTTCACCTCTGTTTGGTCTCTGCTTGCTGCCTCTCCTCTCTGCCCTGCTCTCTCTCTGTGTCCCCCTCTCTTGGTGCTCACTCTCTGCTCTCTCTGTGCCTCTCTGCCAACCCTCTCTGCTGTTTGCTCCCTCCCAGTGCCCACTCTGCTGCATCTGCTGGCTCTCTGCCCTCTCCCCATCCCTGCTCTATCTCCCTTTTTGCTCTCCAGGTCTCCTGGCTCTCTCCTCAGTTTTTTTGCCTCACTTCCCCCCCTGCCCTTGTCTTTTGCCCTTTATCTTGGCACCAGTAAATGGACTCTGTGGCCAGAGGATGATGAGGAGCGTGGATGTGTCCATACCTGAGGTAGCTGACTCTGTGGCCCAAGGGCCTGTGTGTTTTTCCAGAGGTTGCCCACTGCAGGTGGCCTGTCTGGGGTGGGACAACCCATGGAGCTGATGGTGGAGAGGATCTCCAGGGGCACTGGAGGCAGCTGAGTGGTGCTGGCTGGCTCCTGATGGGGGTGCTTGGTAAGCAGGTAGGTAACCAAGTCATTTATTTAGTAGCAGAGCGATGTGATGGGGGGTGCAAGTGGGTTGTGATGATGTTAATGACTTTCTGTGGGTTTTTATAGGTTTTCACAGGTGTCCAAGCAGTGGTGATGAGCAGAGTGCCTGTCTGCAGGGATTGCAGTGTTGGCCAAGGTCTGACTCAGCCCTTTGTGTGACTTAATAGAATCACAGAATGGTTTGGGTTGGAAGGAACCTTAAAACCCATCCAGTTCCACCCCCTGCCATGGGCAGGGACACCTTCCACCAGTCCAGGTTGCTCCAAACCCCGTCCAACCTGGCCTTGGACACTTCCAGGGGTCCAGGGGCAGCCACAGCTTCTCTGGGCAACCTGTGCCAGGGCCTGCCCACCCTCCCAGGGAAGGATTTCTCCCAAATATCCCATCTAACCCTCTGACAGCCTTTCAGTCACTGGACTGCAGCATCTTGCCTTCACCCTGAGGCAAAGCTGGTTTTGTTACTTGAACTCCAGACTGTAAAACTGGTCCCTGGATGTCAATCTCTCTTTGATCTTAAGCTCTTCAGGTTGTAATTTAATATTTCAATATCAACTTAATCATACACAGCGGCATAATTAGCAACTATTAGATGGCCTGGGGTAGATCTAACCACGGTGGCTCCATTGGGATGTTGTAAACTGGAATCCTAGAATTTCAAACGCTACATCTGTGTTTGAAAAATAAAATAAAAAAAATCCCAACTCTGCTAAACTAAATATTCTAACTATGCATGATTTCTTTTGCAGCCTTTTGTTGTTCCTTAATCCTTCAGGAGACATAAAAATAAGATTGAATCAACAGCATGGTGAAGATAATTTAAACAGTGGAAGGAGCTGAAATTGTCTGGACAAAGGTGACATTTCAACCTTTCTTGTGTATGGAACATTAATGGGTGGGACATTCTTTGTAGGATGTATTAAAACACTTAAATGTGTATGTATATATATATAATATATATTTATATATATTTTAAAGTGTATATTTCAAAGTATACATATCTTTTAAAGTGTAGGTTTTAAAGTGTATGTATAGATATAAGATATATTTTTATATATAATATTTATATATATTTATCTCAAAGACTCAGAGCTTATCCTGACAAATTGTTTCTATTAAAATTCTCTTTAAAGAGAGTGAACATGAATTCAGGCTGACTTAAACAAGACAAGACATTTAATAATCACTAATTACTGTTTATAATCGTAGCAGGGAACAGTCAGTGAAGGGCAGGACTAACTTTTTTCCCATTGGAAAAACCCATTTTGATGCCACAACTGCTGACTTGGCAGGTGGAATCTGCTGTGAGCTGGGCTTAGACAAGGAAAGTACATCCCAAGAGTTAATGCAGATTTATACAGTGAAGGACTTTTCAGTCCTGCTTCCAAAAAAGCAGAGTTTTCACAAGCTGGATGTTCCAGGCAGACACTTTGCAGTGGTTTTGAAGAGCAAGGATGATGGAGAGCTGGATCAAAATATACACAGAATAAAGAGCTATGGTAAAATATACACAGAAAATACACAGAATAATAGGAAACAACTGCACCTGGGAAGCAGAGGAAACAAGGAGAAGTAAAGGGTGAAAAAGAGAAGAAAAACCCCACATGTAAGTGCGTAAATACTTGGTGAGGCCAAAGTAACAACAGGAACATCCTGGGAGGAAAAAAAAAAACACAAACAAAAACACGAAGCAAGATTTGACTGCAAAAATGAAACAGTGAGGAGGACATGGATGAGCTGTGCCCTGCCCTTTCTAAGGAAGAAGAAGAAGAAGAAAACACCACTAAATACTGAGAAAAAACATGGAAAAGAAGAAGATACCCTACTTCACCCCTGGCTTCCTTCACTCCCCCCTCATTTCCACACCACACAACCACTGCCCCCCATGGGCCAGCACTCCCTGTTTGAGACTCGTGGCTAATTTAGGCCAAGTTCAGTAAAGATGAATTCTTTACCTGTGTGATGGTGATGAATAAAGCCTGAGCCTGGCTGTTAATGTGTACTGTCAATGATTGTCAGTCCAGTAAAGCCTGCTTTAAACCTTCAAACCCTGTGGGTGTGTTTGTTTCAAATATATCCCCAAAATGTGCAGCTGCTGAGGGGGAAGGTCTGCAGGGGCAGAGGGAGGTTGGGGTTCAGCTCTACAGGCCAGAGGACACAGAGCAGCAGAATTAGGTTGTTCTGCCCAAAATTAACACCACTTTTATCATTCCCAGGTAAAATTGGAGCAGGGGGAGCACCTCTGACCCCCAAATGCTAATTGGTTGACCTAAAGTAATCCCAAAATGACCTAAAATGACCCCAATGACCCAGAGTAACCCCAAAATGAACTCGAGTGACCCCAAAATGAACTCAATGACCCCAAAATGAACTCGAGTGACCCCAAAATGAACTCGAGTGACCCCAAAATGCCTGATTTTTGACCTAAAGTAACCCCAAAATTTTCTGCACAGAGTAAGTTTGACCTGCAGTAACCCCAATGACCCAGAGTAACCCCAAAATGAACTCAATGACCCCACAATGAACTCGAGTGACCCCAAAATGAACTCAATGACCCCAAAATGAACTTGAGTGACCCCAAAGAGCCCGATTTTTGACCTAAAGTAACCCCAAAATTTTCTGCACAGAGTAAGTTTGACCTGCAGTAACCCCAATGACCCAGAGTAACCCCAAAATGAACTCAATGACCCCAAAATGAACTCAGTGACCCCAAAATGAACTCGAGTAACCCCAAAATGCCCGATTTTTGACCTAAAGTAACCTCAAAATTTTCTGCACAGAGTAAGTTTGACCTACAGTAACCCCAATGACCTAAAGTAACCCCAAAATGAACTCAATGACCCCAAAATGAACTCAGTGACCCCAAAATGAACTCAAGTGACCCCAAAATGCCCGATTTTTGACCTAAAGTAACCCTAAAATTTACTAAGGTCAAAAATCGGGCCTTTTGGGGTCACTCGAGTTCATTTTGGGGTCATTGAGTTCATTTTGGGGGTACTGCAGGTCAAACTTTGTGCAGAAAATTTTGGGGTTACTTTAGGTCAAAAATCGGGCATTTTGGGGTCACTCGAGTTCATTTTGGGTCGTGTCATTTTGAGGTCACTCAGTTCATTTTGGGATCGTGGTTCATTTTGGGGTCATTGAGTTCATTTTGGGGTTACTCTGGGTCATTGGGGTTACTGCAGGTCAAACTTTGTGCAGAAAATTGTGGGGTTACTTTAGGTCAAAAATCGGGCCTTTTGGGGTCACTCGAGTTCATTTTGGGGTCATTGAGTTCATTTTGGGGTCACTTGAGTTCATTTTGGGGTCATTGAGTTCATTTTGGGGTTACTTTAGGTCATTGGGGTTACTGCAGGTCAAACTTACTCTGTGCAGAAAATTTTGGGGTTACTTTAGGTCAAAAATCGGGCACTTTGGGGTCACTCGAGTTCATTGTGGGGTCATTGAGTTCATCTTGGGGTCACTCGAGTTCATTGTGGGGTCATTGAGTTCATTTTGGGGTCACTTGAGTTCATTTTGGGGTCATTGAGTTCATTTTGGGGTTACTCTGGGTCATTGGGGTTACTGCAGGTCAAACTTACTCTGTGCAGAAAATTTTGGGGTTACTTTAGGTCAAAAATCGGGCACTTTGGGGTCACTCGAGTTCATTTTGGGGTCATTGAGTTCATTTTGGGGTCACTCGAGTTCATTTTGGGGTTACTCTGGGTCATTGGGGTTATTCTAGGTCACTTTGGGGTTACTTTAGGCCATTGGGGTTTATGTGTGGTCAAATTCCATCTCTGCAGAGAACTTTGGGGTTAGTTTAGGTCATTTTGGGGTCTCTGGGATTACCTGAATTCAGTGTGGGGTCATTGGGATCACCTGGGGCCAAGTTCTCTCTCTGAGGACCACCTTATGTCACCCACCAAGTCTATCCACTGCATGAAGTTCTACAAGTTCCCCCCACAACAATCCCATGGTTCCCCCTCCAGTTTGTTCTCTGATCCTTCTCCCTGCTGTTATATTTGTATGGATTTTTTTTAAATTATTATTATTTCCATTATTTTTGATTCAAGGAGATGAGGTTTCTTCTCTTCTTGGTGCTTCCAACCAGCCAGTCCCAACTGTCAGCTTTGCACTCTAAGTTTAGGATTCATGTCTTACTCCATTTGACTCTGACCCTATATTGCTGAACATCAAAATTTATATATTTATATAATTATACCTTTCTTCCTTGCTTCCCTTGCCTGGTGCAGGTACCCCGGACAGTGTGTTCACACTGTCATAGAATCATGGGATGGTTTGGGTTGGAAAGGACCTTCAGCAACAAATCCCAACCACTTACCCAAATAAAGTCCTCTTGAGAATTGAGGTGCGTGGAGTATGCAGATATTACTGATTATTACCCATGGCTGGAGCCCCTGGTGGTCTAGTGGTAAGGGCGCGGCGCTGTCACCGCCGAGACCCGGGTTCGATTCCCGGTCAGGGCCACTCCCGGGCAGATGGAGCTCGTTAGCCCTTAAAGGCAACCCATCTACGTCCTGAGGACCTCGCTGCCACCGTCCAAGCTCGCTTGGCCCCGGCAGATGAACCTTAGGATTAAAGGGTGGGCTCAGTTCTGCGCACACTGTGTCTCACCTAAAAAATCCAATGCGCAGGCTGGAAGGTGTAAAGACCTTCCCCGGATCTTCACTCGTGAAGACTGGCCATTACTTTACTTACCCATGGCTGGGCTTGAGTATCTGTGTGATGAACTCCTGGTGTGTCACAGCTCTGAAGCCAGGGGGGACAACTGCGTCTGGCCTGTGGTGCTGCAGGCAAAGGAGGTGCCCTGGGGACAGCAAAGGAGGTGCCCTGGGGACAGCAATCCCTCTGCCCTGCCTGGCAGGTGCCACTCCCTGGGGCTGCAGCGTTGGGTCACACAGCTGGATTTCACAGGTGTGCTGAAAGGATGAGCACGTGCCCTGCTCTGCTGGGGGCTGGGTGAGCGCAGGGCCTGCTGCTGCCCTCCACAGAGTCCTTCCTCCCCAGGGCTGCTCGGAGTGAGCATGCAGGGCTCGCCCACAAATGGTCCTGCGTGGGACAAGTTCACTGCCTTTGGGGCCAAACATTTTTCCCATAGGAATGGGTTTTTCTCTCCAAAAAGCACATAGTGACTGAGAGAGGGAAGCCTCTCAGAATCATAGAATCATAGAATAGATTGGGTTGGAAAAGACCTCCAAGATCATCAAGTCCAACCCCTGATCCAACTCTAATTACTATATCATGGCACTAAGGGCCATGTCCAATCTCTGTTTAAAAACCTCCAGGGATGGTGAATCCACCACCTCTCTGGGCAGGCCATTCCAATGCCTGATTACCCTCCCTGTAAAGAATTTCTTCCTAACATCTAACCTAAACTTCCCCTGGCAGAGCTTGAGCCCATGTCCCCTTGTCCTGTTGTTGGTTGCCTGGGAGAAGAGACCAACCCCCACCTGGCTATAACTTCCCTTCAGGTAGTTGAAGAGAGTGATGAGGTCACCCCTAAGCCTTCTCTTCTCCAGACTAAACAACCCCAGCTCCCTCAGCCTCTCCTCATAGGACTTGTGCTCAAGTCCCTTCACCAGCCTGGTTGCTCTTTGCTGGACCTGCTCCAGCACCTCAATATCCTTCCTGAACTCAGGGGCCCAGAACTGAACACAATGCTCAAGGTGTGGCCTCACCAATGCAGAGTACAGGGGAAGGATCACTTCCCACATCCTGCTGCCGCACTGTTCTTGATGCAGGCCAGGATGCCATTGGCCTTCTTGGCCACCTGGGCACACTGCTGGCTCATGTTCAGCCTCCTGTCAATCAGCACCCTCAGATCCCTTTCCACCTGGCTGCTCTCCAGCCACTCTGTGCCCAGCCTGTAGTGCTGCAGGGGGTTGTTGTGGCCAAAGTGCAGGACCCGGCCCTTGGCCCTGTGGAACTTCATCCCATTGGAATCAGCCCAACTCTCCAGTCTATCCAGATCCCTCTGCAGAGCCCTCCTGCCTTCCAGCAGATTGACACTCCCTCCCAACTTAGTGTCATCTGCAAATTTGCTGATGATGGACTCAATCCCCTCATCTAGATCATTGATAAAGATGTTAAACAGGACTGGGCCCAGCACTGATCCCTGGGGGACACCACTGGTGACTGGATCCCAACTGGATGCAGCCCCGTTCACCAGCACTCTCTGGGCCTTCCAGCCAGTTCCTAACCCAGCACAGAGTGCCCCTGTCCAAGCCATGAACTGTCAGCTTTTCCAGGAGTATATTATGGGAGACAGTGTCAAAGGCTTTGCTGAAGTCCAGATAGACCACATCCACAGCCTTCCCCTCATCTACCAGGTGAGTCACCTGATCGTAAAAGGAGATCAGGTTGGTCAGACAGGATCTGCCTCTCCTAAACCCGTGCTGGCTGGGTCTGATCCCTTGTCCATCCTGTAGGTGCTGTGTGATTGCACTCAGGATGATCTGTTCCATAACTCTGCCAGGCACCGAGGTCAGGCTGACAGGCCTGTAGTTACCAGGGTCAGCCTTGCAGCCTTTTTTATGGATTGGGGTGATATTTGCCAACTTCCAATCATGTGGGACCTCCCCAGTGAGCCAGGACTGTTGGAAGATGATGGAGAGCGGCTTGGCAAGCTCTTCTGCCAGCTCCCTCATTACCCTAGGATGGATCCCATCTGGTCCCATAGACTTGTGAGGATCCAGATGGCTCAGTAAGTCACTATTTCCTCCTGGAATACAAGGGGGCCTATTTGGTTTCCTATCTCTGTCTACCAGCTCCAGAGGCCAGTTGCCTTGAGGGCCACCTGTCTTACTGGTAAAAACTGAGGCAAAGTAGGTGTTAAGTACCTCAGCCTTCTCTTCATCTCTATTAACTATATTTCCCTCCAAGTCCATCAAAGAATGGAGGTTTTCTTTGCCCCTCCTTTTGTTATTAATGTATTTATAGAAGGACTTTTTGTTATCCCTAACAGAAGTGGCCAAATTAACTTCAAATTGTGCTTTTGTATCCCTGATTTTCCTTCTGCATGATCTAGCTGTCTTCCTAAATTCTTCATAAGTAGCCAGCCCTTTCTTCCATAGTTGGTAAACTCTCTTTTTATCCCTGATTTCCTTCACAACCTTCCTGTTTAACCAAGCTGCTTGTCTTCCCTGCTGGCTTGCCTTTTGGCACACCGGTATGGTCTGTTCCTGTGCACTCGAGACTTCCTGCCTGAAGCACATCCATCCCTCCTGGATCCCCTTGTTATCAAGGGTTGTTTCCCAGGGTATGCTCTGGACTAGACTTCTGCCCTCTGGAAGTCCAGCATAGAGTTTTTATTGTTGTTTCTCCTTGAATCTCTGAGTATTGAAAATTCTATTATTTCATGGTCACTGGGGCCCAGACAGCCTCCAACCATCACATCTCCCACCAGCCCCTCTCTGTTTGCTAAACAGCAGGTCTAGCTGGGCCTTACCCCTGGTAGGTTCATTTACTAGTTGATGAAGGAAATTGTCCTCTATACACTCCAGGAAATTCCTAGACTGCCTCTTCTCTGCAGTATTGAACTCCCAGCAGATATCAGGCAGGTTAAAGTCACCCACAAGGATCAAGGGCTGATGATTTTGAGACATCTGCCAGCTGCTTGTAGAATAACTAATCCCCTTCCTCATCCTGGTTGGGTGGTCTGTAACAGACTCCCATTAGGATGTCAGCCTTGTTGGTCTTCCCCCTGATTCTGATCCACAGGCACTCAACCTTATCATTGGTGACCTCAAGTTCTACAGAGTCAAGAGACTCTCTAACATATAAAGCCACCCCTCCACCTCTCCTCCCCTGCCTGTCCTTTCTGAAGAGCCTGTAACCATCCATGGCAGCACTCCAGCCATGTGAGTCATCCCACCACGTTTCTGTGATGGCAACTACATCATAGCCTTCCTGCTGCACAGATGGCCTCCAGCTCCTCCTGTTTGTTGCCCATACTGCGTGCATTAGTGTGCATGCACTTCAGGTGGGCTGCTGATTTAATTCTTAACTCAGGCTTTCCATCCTTAGGCTGATCCCTGGAGAGCCCGGTTTCAACCCCTTCCCCCTTCAAACCTAGTTGAAAGCCCTCCTGATCAGCCTCACTAACTTATGGGCTACAGTCCTCTTCTTCTTCCTAGAAAGATGAGTCCCATCTGATTTTAAGAGACTAGGTACCATGGAGTTTGCCCCATGGTCAAAGAAACCAAAATTTTGATGGTGGCACCAATCCTTTAGCCATCTGTTGAGGAGTTGGGCTTTGTTACTCCTCTCTTTATTTAACTCCTCATCCATCCCAGATAGTACAGGAACTGAGGCAAATATCACCTGTGCTCCTGTCCCCTGAACTGACTGACCCAGTGCTTTAAAAGTCTTTTTTAATTATCCTGACACTTCTTCGATTAATGTCCTCACTGCCAGCCTGGACTACCACCAGAGGATAATAGTCTGAGGGCTGAATTAACTCAGGAAGTCTCCTGCTAATATCCCTCACCCTGGCCCCAGGAAGGCAGCAAACTTCTCTCTGGGATGGGTCTGGGTGACATATAGGGCCCTCAGTTCCTCTCAGAAGGGAGTCACCCACTACAACTACCCTTCTTTTTTTTTTTTTTATACCTGTGGTTGTAACCCATCTTTTAGACATGGCTGAACCAGGAGGTTCTCCAGAGGGATCTTCTTGGCTGTCCTCTACCTGGCTGTCTGGGTCCAGAGTCTCATATCTATTCTTCAAGGGCACCCTGGGGGGTGATGGGGGTCGAGAGAGAGTTCTTTTACCTCTTCCATTAGGGACCTGTTTCCATTCCCCCCCCACCAATTTGGTCTGCTCCCTCTGCCTTATGGCAGTGTGAAAAATTGAGGAACTGGTTTTATTCCAAGCAAATTAAAATGAACAGAGGGTACTAACAAAAGAACTATTTCTGTATATTTATTAACTTATAGGCGTACCGTGGAGACTGTAAGGTGAAGGGTCCTATCTGGACCTCTCACCAGGGAATCTTTTGCGGCCGGGAACAGGGAACAAATTATGAATAAAAATGTATTCCTCTGTGCCATGTGGATACACAGAGAGACCCTCCATGCCTTGCAATGTGAGGATGATGCAAGACCCCCCTGTACGAGCCCAGGGGAAGTATGTTGCAACCAGCCAAAAGATAACACCCACTTCCAAAGCAGAGAAATTACCTTTTAAGGCAACAAGCGGACAGTAAAATGAATATTCAACAACTGATATCAAAGGGTACAAAAAGCGCGGTTTTCAAACAGCAGTGTGCTCTTTGCATGATTCAAAGGTGCACCCAGTGCTGGAAATGGGTACCCAGCACTGCAATAAAAAATTTCTTGCTATATTTCTTTGTCCTGCAGGTATTTTTGCCGTCTTCAAAATTCCAGAGAAAAAGTAACTTATAACAGCAGGAGGGGCAGGGCTTCGCCATCTCCTGCTGGACTTCCTTAGGGTTTAAAAGGGTTTGACTCCACCAGTCAATTTCCTTTTCACTCTCCCTAATGCACCTTAATCTCTCTACCTCTTCCTTAAGTTCTGCTACCAGGCACAGCAAGTCATTCATCTGCTCGCATCGTACACAGCTACCTCCTACACCATCCTCTGGTACCAACGTCAGGCTCAGACACTCAGCACTCCCAGACACCTGGGTGGCTGCATCCTTCTTCGAGGGGAGTGTCTGAGCAGACACACTCCTAGTATTAACAGCAGTAACGTTTTTCTGGAAACCATTGCTAGCTTTAAAAAGCACACTCACCTACGAGAAGTGGGAGCTGGTTGTGTCCTGCCTGCTTGAAGTGCCTTGCAAATTGCTGTGCCACGCCCTGTTTGTCTGCTCCTGGAGGCTCTTATATAGCCTCCGCTAGCACTTGCTAACGAGCCTGACCCACCCCTCACTCACCTGTGTCGGTTCCGAGGAGGAGCCAAGCCTGAGCAGCAAATGCTCTGTGATGGCCTGGGAGGATGGCAGGGAAGGGACTGGGACACCATCCCTGTCCCTGGGCAGGGGGAGCCAGCAGGGTTCCCCCAAGCCTGGGCTGCTGGAGAACTGGTGCCACGTGTGCCACACAAATCCATGGTTAGAGCACTCAGGAGTTTACTTGGTGCCAGAGAAAGGGCTGGGTTACACCAGCAGGACTTTCTGAGCCCCGACTCATGGCTGTTCTCCCCCCAGTGCCCTCACACTGTGGAGGGACCCCTGTGTGCCACCACGCTGAGCAGACCCCGGCAGTCCGTGCGCTCGCTGCTCACCACGTGTGGCTGTGCCTCGCTGAATGTCACCTCAAAGCCAGCAGCCTCCACAGCTGCCTCCACCTCGTGTTTCTCCAGGTGGAGGCAGGAGAAAACCTGCTTGTTGAAGGCGTAGTAGGATTCCCCAGGGACGGTCACCAGCACCAGGTGCCCCCCTGGCTTCACGAGGGTCCCGATGTTCCTCAGGGCGCTGCTGAAGGTGGGCAGGTCCTTGCAGGTGCCCTCCAGGCACAGGGTGCAGACAATACAGTCAGCTGGTGGCAGGGACATGAGGCCTGTGGGGTTGGCTTTGGTCACGTCCCACTTCAGAACCTGCTTCACTTTCTTCCTCACTTTCTCCTGTTTCTCAGCCCACTTCTCCCTGGCAAGGAAATGCACAGACAAGTAGAGGAAGGTTCTGTGGTTATTTAACATCTGTGCCTGTGGCTCCATGGCCACGGGGGTAGGACACCAGCCTCACCTGTCCCCTTCCAGCTCACACATGTATTTCACCACCAGCACTCAGTCAAAGGCTCCCTCTTCGTTCCTCGGCCACCTCCCCAGCTCCCGGCGGTTCCGGTCAGTGTGGTCCAGGGCGATGATCTCATGGAAGTGCTCACAAGCACACAGAAGCTGGTAGATGGTGGGGCCACAGCCGACATCTATCAGGGTGCCACCTCTCAGCCCGTCTGGCGCAGAGTCAAGGGCAAAACCATCCGAGTGAGGATGGAGTCTCCCCCAGGGCAGAGCCCCTTGGACCATGCTCCCCCTAACCCAGAAATGTGACCCCGAGTGCCACAGACCCACAGTGCAGCCCCTGTGGCTCTCTGGCCACAGTCCAGCCCAGAGGCAAGTCCTGCAGCAGGTCCAGAGCCTGTGGCAGGAGCAGTGCCAGCTCCTGGGGCAGAGGCACTGACCCCACACCCCCATGCCCCGGCTGGATTTGATGGTGTTCCCAGAAACAGGCACAGCTCCAGCTGCAATTCCCTGTATGCACAGACACATGCGCAGGCAGAGGGATATTTTTAACAGAGCAGGAGTGTGTCAGTGAATCACAGGGTTTGCTCCATGCTGGGGCACATGCTCTGCCATGGGCAGCCCGAGGGCAGCCCTGCAAATGGCACCGTCCAATGGCTCTGAACACCTCGGGAGTGCTCACCTGAGGAGAACATCTTGTGCAGGTTCCTCAAGTTTTGCCTCAGAAACAAGTTTGCCCCTTCCTGGCTGTCACTCATGCTGTAATATTCTTTCAGATATGCCTGAGGGTCGAAACTCTGCTGGTGAAACTCTGCTGGTAAAACTCTGCCTCCATGAAGACCACTGGTGCATCCATCCTGCCGAGAGCCAGCTCTGCTGCCCGCTCCTCCCATCCCACCTTGCATGGCCCCTGTTGTACTTTCAGTTTGTCCTTCCCGTGTCCTTTGCTCCAGGTTCCAGCTGGACACATTCATCAGCAGGACTTACACTAGCTCTCCAGTTTCCTGCTGAGCCTTGCCTTTTCCATAATAACTCACTACTGAGATTTCCCCAGCAGCCCCCGGTCCCACAACCTGCATGAGTGATCACAATTAATAACAATTCCTGGGATTACAGTGCACATCCCTGGCTTCACAGTAACTGACAGCACCAAAGGAGTGCAGTGTGAGGTGGTGTTGCTGGCAGTCACTGCCTGGCAGCCCTGTGAGATGTGTCCCACATTGCTGCTTCCTGAGAGCCGATGGCAGTCGGTGTGCTCAGTAACATGGCACAGGGCATTAAGGCCATTAAATGTCCTGGCAGAGGACAGCTGGAGTCTCTTCTGCAGAAAAGAAGGATCTATCCCTGCCCACCCATGGGAAGCACCTGCCAAAATTTCCGCTCCATTTCCATAATTTTGTTCCTTTCAATTGTTTCAGGTTTTCCTTGGAAAACTGCAATTTCACCTCTGAGCGCCAGAATCCAGAACCTTCCCAGCCTCGGTGCCCGAGGGGGTTTTGCCTCCTGAGCTGGCTCTGGACCCCGTGGCCCTGTGTGTCCCATGCCGATGCGGTCCCAGCCTGCCCTGCAGCCCGCAGGAGCCTCTCGCCCTCCCTCCCGGGCAGCACAGAGGGCACACGGTGGTGACGCTTCCTTCGCCACAAAGAGGCAGCAGAGCCCCGCGCTTCTCGGGCTGGCGGGTCCTGCAGCAGCTCATCCGCTTCTCGCTCGCCCAGCGGGAGCCGAAATGATCAAACAGGTTTAGGCTCATTACCGACTCCGAATCTATATAATTGGCCTTTGCTTTTTTAAAGATCCGTCATTAGGAGTGACGGTGGAGGAGCCGCCGCACCATCACCAAACTAAGTGCGGCTGCGGATCCCGAGGTGCGTTTGCTTCACAAACCCCCTCACTGTGCACGGCCAGACCTGCCACTGCCGAACCTTCTGCTGAGGATGTGAGGCATAAAAAGGACATCAGCTTGATGATGAACACAGTAAAGAGATTTTCTTCTGACAGCAAAGCCAACACTCAGCCCTCCCTACTACTGCAGTGCTGAGACACAGGGCTAAAATGATCTCTAAAGCCCCACAAGAGCCCCATCAGCCAGGCAAGCTGACCCTGGGGCATTGCCAGCACAGCACTTACATTCCAGTCCTTAGAGACTGGTTTTGCTCACTGAGTGACATGATTTGGGGATAAAAGTACAAATTGTCTGCACCCAGAGGTCTTGAGGTATTTCTGAGCAGGGGTAGCAGAGCATCTTGGGGCTGGCAAGCCTTGCCCTCACCACCAGCCTGGCACTGCCTGCTCCAGGAAATCACAGACTAATAGAACAGCCTGGGTTGGAAGGGACCTTAAAGATCATCTCATTCCAACCTCGCCTGTCATGGGCAGGGACACCTGCACTAGACCAGGTTGCTTCAAACCCCATCCAACCTGCCTTTGAACACTTCCAGGGATGGGGCAGCCACAGCTTCTCTGGGCAACCTGTGCCAGGGCCTCCCCACCCTCACAGGGAAGAATTTCTTCTTAATATCTAATCTAAACCTACTCTCTGTCGATGTGAAATCATTGTACCTTGTCCTGTGACTCCAGGCCTCTGTAAATAGTCTCTCACCATCTTCTTGCAGGCTCCTTTCAGGCACTGGAAGGCTGTAATTAGGGTCAGCCCAAAGAGCCACCCCCGAGCCGGTGGCAGCCCCACGGACAGCTCTGCCGCTCCACCTTCCTGGCTGCATGGCAGCTGGGCTCCAGGCATCCACGTTCCATTTTCCCCCATACTCTTTCTTCAATCAAAGTGTATGATTAGGGCTGTGCAAGCTCCATTGTCATCTCCACCTAAGTGCTGCTCTGATGGATGGAAACAGCATCTCAGTGTTTACACCGAGGAACACATCGCTCTGCTTTCCTGGATAATGCACAAAATCTGCCACTGCAGGGAGGGGAAATCACAAAAAAAAAAAAAAAAAAAAAAAAAAAAGAGCAGGCCCTGCAGAAGGCTGGGGAGGGAGGAGGGGAGCCTATTGGAATCACTGGTTATATGAAAAAAAGGTGGTGACAACTGTGCTCCTAAAGGATAAAATGCACGTATTTTCCAAAGTGCAATAGCTGCTCAGGGACTTCTTGTGAACTCCACAGCTTTCTGTCATGAGCATCATTAGGCCTATAAGGGGGGTCCATGTGCAGAGGGACGCTGGGCTGGGGAGATGGTATGGTAGGGATATGGATCCCTTAGGGGCAGCACTGGATGCTGATGCTCTTGGGAGGTTTGGTTCAAAGTGTGTGAGCTGGTTGTTTCAGTTATTGCAGAAAACATTTCGAGTTTTTCCATGTATTTCTGTATTGAGCTTCAAGGTTCCTGTTGGGGTCGGAAGACTCCACATGTTGATGTGCCCTTCCCTCTGCCCCCTTTGTCCCCGGGATAGATGTTTGTCTGAGTCTCTGTTCAGGGGCATAGATGTGATCTTAGTTAAACAACAGGTAATTAACACCCTAGATGGTGCTGGGCCCCCGCCCCGGGCCGCTCCCCAGAGCCTCTGCCCGCAGAGGGGAGCAGGAGCAGCCGGGGCCAGGAACAAAAGGTGCCTCTTCCTCCACGTGGTGCAGAGGATCCCGAACAAAAGATTCCCATTCCCTGCACTCCTCTCCCTGCCTCTCACTCTTCCACGAGGATTTAAGCCGTTCTTCTCCTGGTTTGAATTTCTCTGAGCTGCAACAAGAAAGTAGCAATTAACTGTTATAGGGCTGTTTTACAGTTCTGTGCAAACCCTTTCCATCCACTCTGCTTTAAATGGGTACATCTTTTATTCCCGGTTTTCGAGAGTGTAAAACTTTACAGCGTTTTCTGCAAACCTTCATACTTTGCTTTGCGGTTTATTGCTCCCTCTGTGGATATATCTCACTCATAAATACGGCTTCCAGCTCCAAGTACTTGACTCGGAGCCGCAGTGCCCCGGAGAGCTTCCATTAATGGGACTTTGCCTAGAAATCGTGCTGTGATTCATCCCAAACCTCTGTCTCTCCTCCACCCAACAGTGCAGAGCTCTGCAGAAGCACTCTGGTAGCAGCAGGTTGCTCAAACAGGTTATTCCTGCCCCTGCAGCAGATCCCTATGGCTCTGGGAGGTGTGGACAGTGGCTCTGGAAAGCTCAGTGTGAGCTGGGGTGGCTTCAGGCACCACTGTAGTGGAACCTTGGAGGAAAGGCTGCCTTAGATGGAGATGGCTTAGATGGAGAGTTTCCTCTCTCTTCTAGGGATTGTTTATAGGTTATTCACAAAAAACTCTTTATTTTCCTATGATTAACAAGGAATCCCCTGTTCTCCATGTGCTATGAGGGACAAATAGAGAGGTTGAATGTTGAGGTTCCTGTAGGTTTAGGACTGATGTGGATGGGCTGTCTGTGACCACCCTGTAGCTTTTATTTCCATGGGAACACTAAGAGGGGCTCTTTAACGCTACTGCCTGGGGGATTTTTTGGAAAGTTGTGGAGGTGTACTGTGCTTGACATGGGCTCAGGTGTTCAAAAATGGAGGCAGAGTGGGGTTCTGCACAGTGCTGGTCCTGTCAGGGGCTCTGAGAAGGGAACAGGGCACTTGGCACCCAGACAGGGGTGGTGGCCCAAGGGGAGGAGTGGGGCGATTGGTCTCTGCTGCAGACCCCAACCAGCTGCTGTTTTTCCAGGACTGTCATGACACAAAGGATTCAGAAAGGTGGGGGATATTAAGTGCAGCTTTCAGAGCCCCGCATGCTATGGTAATTTCCTTGCATTACGGCTTTAATACCGCCCTCCTCCCGTCCCTTTTAACAAAACACGATGCATTTCGCTGGGAAGCATTCAGGGGTGATTTGGTTGGAGTCCAGGACGGCGGTGATTGCAGCGGCGCGGTGCCTTTGGGGTAAATGGAGCGATACTGGCGTGAGCGTGACCTCTGTGGAAAGGATGGCACCGGGGGGTGCTGCTGTCGATTGGTGTCATGTGCTGTGCCTTGTCACCAAAAGCAGGGCGCCTTGTGCCACCCCTTTGAGCATCCCGTGACTGTACTACAGCTGCTTTTCCAGGGAAGAGTAAGATCTCTTTGAAAAGGCATTGGTTGTCTGCGTCCATCCCCAGAGCCAGGGTGGGTGCTCCCCACAGCCCCTGCGGGAGCGCTGGCTGGAAGAGGGAGGGGAGCAGGGCGGGCACACGTTGGCAGCGCCGCGTTAGCGGATGGTTTATGGGACCATTTGCCAGTGCCGGTACCTGCCACCCAGGCTCCAAATGTCAGAGCCGGGCGAGGGAACAGGTGGGCTGTACTCGTCTCCAGGGCCCCACTAATTCACAGGCAATAGATTAATGACAGGAACGGGGACAAAGTCCTATTCTGGGTGCAGGTGACTGAGCAATTCCCTTCTGGCAGGCAGAGGGAGGGAGACCTGCCACTGTCAGGCTGCCTTTGATTGTGTTGTCTGAGCCAGCCTTAAAGGTAGCCTGCGCTCGGCACCAGCTTTGCTCTTGCTCAGGGCTTTGGAAGCGGTGGCAAGTCTCGCTTAAAATAACGAGCCCCTCTGCTAATTACCTGAGGCTGCCTCTTTGCACTGCAGGCCATCGCTTACATCATCCCCATAGAGGAACCAGAGGTTTCCTTCAGTCCCAGAGAGACAGGAGATGTTCAGAGCTAATGACATCAGCCCTGTCAGGAAAGGGTGTAAAGCCATTTGCACCCACACAGACCTGGCTACTGGTGCCCAGCATGGGACAGGAGGAGACCCTGACAGGGAGCAAGGTCTTCCTCAGCCCCCTCCCAGCATCTGCTTTTGTCCCAGCTGCCTCCAGGAAGGAGAGTTGGTTCTGTGCTGGAGGGAAGGTATGAGCAAGGGGTGCTTTGGTAGGGAAC